ATCAACTGCTCCTCTTCCTCGTCGTTAATTCAGCATTAACTGTCACCATTCCTCATTAACTTAGCTCATGATTAATAAAGTAACCATTCGATTAATGATCAATGACTTGATCATTAATTGAATCTCATTAACTTCCCATCCCAGCCACGGGTTAGAGGATCCTCATTAATCCTTCATGAATGCCTGGTGGTCATTGTGAGCGTGCCGTGTGCCGTTGGTGGGCGGGCATTAAACACCTCACTCATTAATACCAAGGGCCTTGGTCTGCACACTTTGCTCTCGTCTCTGCCTCTCAGGGCCCCTCAGAGTCTCTCTCCATCTCTGCCCCCTTTTCCCTGTGTCTGTCTCTCGGTCCCACCCTCTTTTCTGTCTCTGTCTCTGTCTTTTCCTCCCTGTCTCCCTCCCTCTCTCTCTGTTTCTACCTCTCTGTCTTCCTTTCCCCCGGTCTCTTGTTCCTGTCCCTCTGGGCCTGGGTCTCTGACTCTCGATCACTCCGTGCTCCACCGCTCCACTGCTCTACTTTGGGCTCGGAGGCTCCTTCCTGTGTCGGGCGTGGGGGGCGTGGGCAGCGCACCTGAGAGCCGTGCGGCGCGGTGCGGCGCGGTGCGGTTTACCAGACCTGCAGCGCGGCTCGCTCCTGGCGCGAGTTCCGACCCACCAGGGCTGTGGGTCCTGTGAAGGAAATGTCTGGAAACACTTGCTGCCCTCAGGACAGCGGGCAGAGCCCTTCTTTTCTGTGGCTTCTGAGAGAGAAGCGTGCACTCCCAAAGAATGGCCGGGAAGGTCTGGTTTCCTCGCAGCCCCCCCACCCCCCCACCCCGGGGCCTCGGTGGCACAGGGTCCCGTCACCACACACTGGCTTTGCTCAGGGCCTCACTTCTGTCCCTCACAGAGCAGGCCACAGCGACACCTCCTTCCTACCACCCCCCCACACACCATGCACCCATGTGGTGCTGGGTGGCCGACTGTCTTGGGCATTTCTTGCACGTGATGCCTGCTGCCATCAGGAACATGGGACCGGCCACTCTCCCTGCCAGGCCCGGGCGGCCCTGCCTGTCCCCAGGGGCCAGCCTCGTGTCCACCACTGCGCTCTCCCCTCTAACAGAGGTCCTTGTTCTTTCTCTCTTTCTCTCCCGCCTGCCTCCTCCGCTGCCGGCTTGTCCTACCCCCAGAAGAAGCTCAGGAGGAAGGTAAGCGGGTGCAGGACCCGAGCCCCCATCCCTCCCAGCCTTCCTGCCCGCACTGGGCCTGGCTCCCCTTGGCCACCCCTTCCTGGGGTTATGACCCCGGCCTCTGCCTCTAAGGATTCGTGTGTGCTCCTGTCTAACCCTGTCCTCTCCCCTTCCCGCCCCGCACTCTCCGGCCGCAGAAGTCCAGGAGGAAGGTACGCACATACTGGACTTCTTGTCCCCATGTGGGGCCCGGGTCTGGCTGGGGCCGGCAGGGTGGGGAGGGGAGGGGTGCACCGGGGCGCCAGCCAGCGGGGGGCCTCACATGTGGCCCCACGTAACCCACTAACCTAGCCCCACGCGTGACCAGGAAGGTCCTGGCACCCCAGGAATCCCATGGGCAGCACAGCCAGGGCCCCCCCACCCCAAGTCCCTGAGTTCTGGAGCCTGGCACGGGCTGAGACCCCACCGTGCAGGCTGACCTCCCGGTTAGGCCAGGACCCCGGGCTGGGTGTCAGGATGGCTCGGGACACAGGGGAGAGGCAGCGGGAGGCAGAGGCCTGCGGCCTGGGGCCAGGAGAGGCCCCAGCCCTCCGGTCAGCGCCCACCACTGACCCAGCAGCATCCCCCATCCCGTCCTCAGCAGGGGTCTGCCCCACTCCCCAGAGGCCCCAGTCCAAAGGGACGCAAAGGAGGGCCTTCTCCAGTCCGTGGGATGGCAGGAAATGGGGTGTCTCCCTGGGCTTCAACCTTCTTTGGGGGCCTCTGGCGCCGCCTGACCAGGCTGTACCCCTAGACAGGAGCCTCCCAGTCCCAGCCTCGGTTTCCCCCTCTGTGAGGCAGCAGGGGTGGGAGGGGGGGCGTGGGCTCAGGTCTCAGAGCCACTCCTACTCCCAGGTCTGAGGGGCCGTGGATCTGGGGCACAGGCCGGGAGGGGGAGGCGACCACACCCCCAGCTAACTCCCACCCTGTCTTGCTGGCTTCCCGCACGTGCCCCACCCCTCGGCCTCGAGTGGTGACGGGCCGTGTCCTTTCTCCTCTGACCTCTGACCTCTGACCCGCGGCTTTGCCTCTTGTTCCATGGCCCTCCTTAGCCCCTGAGACTCATGAACCAGGTATGTGACACGGCTTTGGAGCCTCGTGGCACGGAGGGCCATGTGTGGTGGGGTGTAGGAGCAGGGCCAAGAAGGAACAAGACGGGCCATGTAACCCACTCACACTTGGTTCTGCTGTGCTCCCGCTGCCCCTCCCCTCCCCCCCCCCACCTGCCTCCACTCACCAGTTCTCTCTCCTCCCTCCCTCTCCCCCACCGGCTGCTGCTCACAGAGGAAGTCCAGGAAGGTAGGCCACCCACCCCCAACAGCCACACTAGACCCCCTCATCCTCTTCCTCCTGACGCTCACAACCCAGTCCTGGCCCCTGGGCTGGCCGCACTGGCCTCGTTTGCCCAGGTGGAACCGAGTAGACTGGGGCAGGTTTCAGTGCCCCAGGAGGCAGGGGAAGGTGGAAGGTGTGCAGAGCAGGCCTAGGGAAGACCAAGCCCTCTGGGTCCACCGGGGCAGGGTGGAGGGGAGCAGACAGAGGAGGAGGGGCGGGGCGGGGCTGGGGGTGGCCTCCACCCTGCCCCCTGCCGCAGAGAACAAGCCGGGGGAGGGGGAGGAAGGAGGGGCAAGGCTGAAGGGAGGTGGAGGAGCAAGCGGGGTGAAGCGGAAAAGAAAGTCGGGCTGAGGCCCGAGGTGGGGATGCTGGGGACCCGGAACAGCCGGGGGCCATGCGTGCAAAAGAGCAATCAGTCAGCTCCCAGCATCCCACCCATGGCCTGCACCCAAGCCAGGCACACCCAGCAGGCTCCCAGGGAACCGGGGGCCTACCTGCCCCACAGCGGGGCTGGGAGCCACAGATCCTAGGCCGAGGCCCAAGCAGGGTGGAGGGAAGCGCCTCAGCCCCCATTCACACACTTCCATGGAACTGCAGGGCCTGGCCCCTCCAGGGTGCCCTCCAGGGTGCCCCCCAGGGTCCCCGGGTCCCCCAGGAGAGGGGCTGGGTCGGACTGTCAGCTCACACAAGACGGTGGTGGCCAGAAGCCCACCTATAGGGGCCTTAGGGCACCTGGGGCCAGCACTGAGGTCAGCAGATGGACAGATGGACAGACAGGAGAGCAGGGTTGCACGGAAGCTTTGCTGCTTAGCCATGCACTGCCCCTGCTGCGTTCAGCTTCTTCCTCAGGACCCTGCGGCCAGGTTCCCCCCCACCAGACCTGGACAGGGGGGCCTTGCCGTCCCTCAGCACCCCCCCCCCCAGCCCTTCACAGGACTCGACTCCCAACACCTGCACAGCTCCATACACGCTCTCGGACTTACAGGAGGCTGGCATCAGGCTTGCCTTCAGAGCTGCATTGCCCAGCCATGGGGCTCTAGTTCCTAGATAACAGCGTGTTCCAGAAGCCCAGGAATAGAGATCCCAGACAGACCCTAGCCAAGTGCAAGTATCGGGAGAACTGGTAGGCTGGACCTTCACAGACAAGCTCAGACAAGGCCTGCTCATCACTAACCATGTGCAGAAGAAGATGCTGGCAGTCCAGATGTCCCCAACCAAGGCTCACTAGGCTGGGCAGGCAGGGCCAAGGGTGTCTCCCGGGGCTGACCCTGGGCCCAGAGCAGGAATGAAGGCTGGTGTGGGGCCTGGCCGTGGTCAAACCCCTCCCTGCTAGAAGGCCCCAAGGCTGGAGGCCACTGCTAGAGCCCACGTTGACACCTTTGAGATCCAGCGGGGCTCCTTGGGCAGAGTTGGTGTTAGAAAGCAAATATGCATCAGGATCCACACAGGAGCAGAGCACAGAGATGGCGCCGTCCCTGTGGCTTCTGTGAGGGTCTGGGGCTCAGGGCTCAGGGGGCAGGGCTGCGGGGTGTGCTCGGGCACAGGAGCTGTGCCCAGCCAGCTCCAGCCCCACAGTGTGACAGTCAGGACTGTGTGCACCCCCAAAGAGCAGCACTGTACGTGTAGCTGGAGGGCCTGACAGGGGTCCAGGCCTCTGGGCGGGCAGAGGTGCTGCCCGGCTGCCATCGGTGCCCCCCTCCCCGAGGGCTCTGTGCCTGCTGCTGCTCCGCGTGGCCGATGCTCCCGGCAGCCGCTCGCTTTTCTCTTGCATGTGTGCTTGTGCCTCCGCCATGAAGAAGCTGCTGAGGACGAGAGGGAGGAGGACGAGGAAGGTAAGGTCTTCCCGCTGCTCCCCGCTGCCCGCTGCAACCTTTGCAGGACACTGGCTCTGGCAGGCTCTGCCCACGGGAGGCAGAGAAGACCCACCCACCGGTGTCTGCATCACTATCTCCCTGTCCTCCCCCGTGCCTGTCCATCTGTCCATCTGTCCTCCTTCCTCCTTGGCCAGGGGCCTCGAGGCCCAGGCCCCACCGCTCTGCATGGCACCGGCCATGGAGCCTGAGCTTCTGCCCACACAAAGGTGGTCACTCAGTGGGGAGGACCCCAGAACAGCAGCCCCCAGCCCCCAGCCAACACCTTCCTCCAGCTCTCCACTGCCCCCTCCTCGCCTCCTGCCATCTTCTTTCCCTGGGGCCCCCAGGGCACACACTTCTTGCCACGATTTCTCCTTTCTTCCCTTCCTCCCCATGCTCTGGGCCTTTCTGGGACCCCTCGGACCTTGCACAGGCCTAGAACTGGGGGGCCAAGACCTCCTTCCTTTTGGAGGGGTGGTACGTGGGGAGGTGGGCTCAGCAGGAGAGGTGACTGGCCCTGCAGGTCAGCCTGAAGGACCCTGTCTTACCTGCTGTCTCTTCCCTCCTTTCCCCATGCTGGCCCTGTGGTGACCAGAGGAGAAGCCCAGGCCCAAGTGAGTACAGAGTCCCAGATGGGCTGGGTGGACCCGGGCGGTCAGGTACAGCGTCCAGGATGGGCTGGGTGGACACGGGCGGCCAGTGTGCAGGCATCGATCTTATTCTGGGGGAAAAGCCCAAGTGCACAGGACACTAGGGACCAAGGTTGCCTTTGGAATGCACAGGACGGTGGGAGAGAGCCTGTGCTGGCCATCCTATGTGCGGAAGGAAAAGGCTGTTGGGCCAAGGTGCAGAAGCGGCTGGGGAGACTGGGGGGCTGAGCTGCCCAGGGCACCGCAGCCCCAGCTCCCTTTGCCTCTTTAGACCACACCAGCCCAGCTGTGGCGGTGTGTGTTGGGGGGAGCTCACTCAGAGCCCCAGGTATGAAATGTAGGGTAGAAAATGAGAAGTGGAAATGTCTTACCCCAAACCCACGTTGGATGGGCTGTGTCCAAATCAGCCTGTGCCTGGGGGTGCTAGGCCCTCCGGGGTAGCTCCACTTGTGAGTCGTTCAGAACTCTTTTTATGGTTATTTAAAAATTTTGTTATTATACACAGGACAGAGGGCTGCAGTTCCCTCAGTCAGGTAGAGTGCATTTCTTTCTGGACAATGTCACCACTTCCCTCGCTCACTCTGTTTTTCCCTTCCATCCCCATTTTATGAGCTTTTTTAACCCAACTTTTCTTAGCTGCCTGGCACCGGGGCTTGTTCCCACACAGGCCTCTTCCCTGACTGCCCAGTCTCTCATCTGCACCTGGCTCAGACCGTGGGGGGGATTTCAGGGTGCAGGAGTGCACCCCCTTTGCTTGCTCCCACAAAGGAGAGCAAAGATAGGTTAGAGGTATGGCTGGCGTGTCCACATTCTCGTACTTTTATTTTCAGCAGTTTAAAATAAAGTAACGCAAGGGTCGTAAGATATTTTCTCATTTTAGGAAAACTGTTTGTGTTTTCATTATGAAAATAAAACACCTCATTAAAGAAAATTTGGAAAATACGTAAAAGTCAAATGAAGAGAGAAAAAAAAAGATCCATAATTCTCCCATCCACCCACCACCCACCCACTCGCCCACCCGCCCGCCCGCGTGTGGAAAGGAGCAGAAAGAAATCAAAGTCGTTATTTCTTCCTACTCTTTTTCCACGACAAGGGCTCGGGAAAAAAAGACCTCAACTCTGCTGGTTTTCAAACATGAGACTGTCTATACAGCCTTGAATTTTGCTTTCTTTGAAAAAAAATTAGCACTATTCATAAGTATTTTTCCATGTTTTTACATAGTCTTCTTAAATATTTTGAATGGCCACATAATATTCCGTCAATTGAGCAAACCATACTGTTCCTAACCACTCCTCTATTGCAGGCTTTCCCCCAATATTTTACTATCATAAATAACGGCGGTGAAGCATTTTCCATCTTTGGGGCTATTTCCCTAGGCCCCATTCCCAGAACTGGAATTACTGGGTCAAAGAGCGTGAATGTTCTTAAGACTTTGACATTTATTGCCAAATTGCTTTCCACAAGGGCCTGGCCAAGGAGGCCTCCTATGTGGGCTGTGCCCCACACCCTCTACCCAGAGACAGAAACGTGCTTTTTCCTCCCCGCCATTGATGGATGGCGAACAGCACCTTGTTTTCCTTTGCATTCCTGGGATGGTACGAGGGCCAGTCATCCCCGTGCTGGTGAACTGCTTGTCTTTCTTCTCTGAGAACTGGCAGCCTATGCCTTTACTCATTTATCTTACGGCCGACATTTCTCGATGTTTTCTTAGTGATTCGTTTGCATAGGGTATAAGTCTTCTCTGTACTTGCTGAATATATATTTTTTTAAGTCTGGGTGGTTTTTTTTTTTCCGCCTGTGCTACAGTTTTTGCTTTTTTTTTTTTTTAACGTACATAAGTTTTTCATTTGTGCGGTGTCATCTGCACGTCTTTTCCTTGGAGGAGGCTCCAGAGCTCGGAGAACAGCCTTCCGCTCCAGGTTTTGATCGATATTCAGCCCCCCTTTCTTCTGTGTCTTGGTTTTGAAAGCCGTTCTTGTCGTAACTCTCTGCCCCATCTGGAATGGATTGTCGGGGGGAGGGGGTGGTACAGCCAGCACACTGGGGGCTTCTTTCCTCTTCACACTGCTCGCTGAGCCCCCTCTTCTCCTTCCTCTGGGCCTCCAGAAAGAAAGATGAAAGAGAGGCCAGAGACACGAGGAAGACCACAGTCAGTCCCGGCTACAGAGCCTCCCGACACCCACGGCCCCCACAGGGCCTGCGGTGGCATCCTGTCCTCCGAAGGGACCTGGCCATGCTTTGGGGGGTTGAGAAAAAACTTGGGGGTCCCCTCCCAGAGAGGCGGGATCTCAGAACCTTCTCTCAGGGGGTCAGGGCCCTCTTGGAATGTGGGCTATAAATCAGATAAGAACAAAGCCCAGGCAAATGTGCCATTAGGCAAGATGCCCTCTCCTGCCAGGTGCACAAGAATGAGGGCGGACCTGGGGCCAGGTCAGTGCAGGTTCACCCTCACCCCCCAACACACACACAGAGGCCCCAGCTCTACCTGCTCATAATCAACCTCTCTCCTCCTCAGACTGACGGCTCCTAAGATCCCAGAAGGGGAGAAAGTAGACTTCGATGTAAGTTTATGGGACCCAGATCAACACCCATCCCCTGTCCCCACCGCCTAGCTTGGTGGTCCAGGCAAGGTCTCAGAAGCACATCTCTTCCAGAGTCAGGGCTTCCTGATTCCAGGCCACTCTTCCAGAATTGATTCCTAGACTTGAAGAAACTCTTCCAAAGATAGTACCTTCTTCCCTTCCCATCCACCCATCCCTTCCTCCATCCTTCCATCCTTCCATCCATCCACCCATCCATCCATTTATCTATCTATCCATCCATCCATCCACACATCCATCTACCCATCCCCCCTCCCTCTCTCCATCCCTCCCTCCCTCTCTCCCTCCCTCCCTCCATCCATCCATCCACCCATCCATCCATCTATCTATCCATCCATCCATCCATCCACACATCCATCTACCCATCCCCCCTCCCTCTCTCCACCCCTCCCTCCCTCTCTCCCTCCCTCCCTCTCTCCCTCCCTCCCTCTCTCCCTCCCTCCCTCCATCCACCCATCCATCCATTTATCTATCTATCCATCCATCCATCCACACATCCATCTACCCATCCCCCCTCCCTCTCTCCATCCTTCCCTCCCTCTCTCCATCCCTCCCTCCATCCATCTATCCACCCATCCATCCATCTATCTATCCATCCATCCATCCATCCACACATCCATCTACCCATCCCCCCTCCCTCTCTCCATCCCTCCCTCCCTCCATCCATCCACCCATCCATCCATCTATCTATCCATCCATCCATCCATCCACACATCCATCTACCCATCCCTCGATCCATCCATCCACACATCTATCCATCCATTATTCCTTGCATGCCTGCATCCACCCACCCATTCATTCATCTATCCAGCCCATCTGTTAGCCACATACTCATTCATCCTTTCACTCACCCATCTGTTTATCCATCCATCCTTCCTTCCATCCTTCCAGTCACTCATCCATCCATCCACCATCCATTATTCCATGCATGTCTGCATCCATCTATCCAGTTACTCATCCACCATCCATTATTCCATGCATGTCCACATCCATTCACTCACTCACTCACTCATCCATCCATCCCATCTGTTATCCATACATGTACTCACCTAGCCATCTGTCCATCCATCCATCCATTATGCCATCCATTCATCCATCCACGCATCCATCCATCCATCTATTATCCACACATTTACCCATGCAGTTACTCATATGCATCCAATTTCTGTTTACTTGCTCATTCATCAACTCACTGAGCCACACTTCTACTGGTCACTTATTATCTATCTATCCACACAGACATCTCCAATCATCCATCTGTCCATCTCTCCAGCCATCCTCTACCAATAACCCAACCACTTATCTATCCACTCATCTGTTCACACACCTATCCACCCATCTATACAAAACATTTCACCTCCTGTTCGCCTACCCATCAACCCATTTGTACAATGAGTTCCTCTCACCAGTCTCTTCTTGGCCACACGGATGTAGACATCTCTGAGGATGGCAGAACCAAGTCTGAGCCAGCCTATCCCAGGCATGCCCCGTGGCTTCAAGGTTGGCCTGGGGATGGCCTTGCAAACAGCACAGGCACCATTCCTGCAATGGGGCTTGGGGGTCAGGTCATCATGAAACCAGGAGGGCAGCAGCCATTGAGGTGTTGCACGTCACGGTCATTATGATGATGACTAGAGGAAGAAGACTGAGGAGCGGAAGGTGCCCCTTGCTACATGGAGGGTCTGGTCTAGATAAGAGGGGTGGTACCTAAGAGCTCTCCCCATGCCCCCCTGCCCCCCGCCTCCCCAGGACATCCAAAAGAAGCGTCAGAACAAAGACCTCATGGAGCTCCAGGCCCTCATTGACAGCCATTTTGAGGCCAGGAAGAAGGAGGAGGAGGAGCTGATCGCGCTCAAAGAGAGGATTGTGAGTGCAGTTGTTCTGCGGGGCTGGGCATGGCGAGGTGGGGCATGGCAGAGCCCGTTCGACCTGCCTTTCGGCTGCAGGAGAAGCGCCGCGCAGAGAGGGCCGAGCAGCAGAGAATTCGTGCCGAGAAGGAGCGGGAACGCCAGAACAGACTGGCGGTGAGCAGTACCGCCCCGGCCGGGCCCTCCCGGGAGCCCGGAGCAAGGGGAGGGGACTCTGGCAATTCCTTCTCCTGGGGCCCCCAGCTCACCACCACTGATCAGAGGCATCGGCTAGGACTCCTTGCCCCACACCTCCCCTGCAAGCCAGCAGACCCTGACAGGCTGGAGCTTGCTCCCAAAGAACTTCCAAGTCTGGGGTGGGTTCTCCAAGTCTGCCCTAGAGGGCAGCCCTGGCCCAGCCCGCCCTGAGGATCTGGGGATGGCATCTCTGTAGGAAGAGAAGGCCAGGAGAGAGGAGGAGGATGCCAAGAGGAGAGCCGAGGATGACCTGAAGAAGAAGAAGGCCCTGTCCTCCATGGGAGCCAACTACAGCAGCTACCTGGCCAAGGTGAGGCCAGTGCTGAGAGCCCTGGGGCGGGTGTGGCTCTGGCCCAGGCTGGCGCAGGCCCCTTCTGAGACCAGGCCTTTCCACCCGGCCCTTCTTCAGGCTGACCAGAAGAGAGGCAAGAAGCAGACAGCCAGGGAGATGAAGAAGAAGATTCTTGCCGAGAGACGCAAGCCACTCAACATCGACCATCTTAGTGACGACAAGCTGAGGTGGGGGAGGAGGACGGCCACTGGGAAGGCCCCAAGGCAGGACCAGGCCAGAGGGGGGGCGGCCGTTCTGCCCTGCCTGTGCGCTGTGCGCCACCCATGTCGCCCCGTCTCCACCTCTCAGGGACAAGGCAAAGGAGCTCTGGGATACTCTGTACCAACTTGAGACGGACAAGTTTGAGTTTGGGGAGAAGCTGAAACGCCAGAAGTATGATGTGAGTCCAGGCCCTGTCCCCCGCCGCGGGCCCCAGGGCTTCACCGCCCCCCACCCCCGCCGTGGCCCCGTTCCCCTTTGGATTCCCCGGGACCCAGGCCCACAGGCACATGGTTTGCCTGCCCCGAGCCCCTCCGTCCAGATGCCAGTCTTCTCAGCACAGGCCGGGCCTGATCAGGGCCCTGCCTAGAGCTGGGAAGGAGGAGGCGGGATGAGTCTCCTCTGTGGGGGAGGTGGCCAGCGGGAGGGGGGGGATTTTGAACAATCTGAGGGCAACGCGGGGGCAGAAGGCAGACTTGGATGTAAGGCTCTGGGATGTAAGCCTCCGGGCTAGGTGGGGAGCTGGACACTGGCTCCCTTTGAGGGTTTGTGCCAGGGGACAAGGCCCAGGCCTGGGAGTGAATCACTCAGTGCCAGCACTGGCACGTGAACTTGGTCATCAAAGCCACCTTCAGCATCCGGGATGAGCTCAGGATGGAAGGGCATGTGGGGCTTCCCGCCCAGCTCCCTCAACCACCTAGCGGGTCCTGGCTCCCTGGGAGTTGGGACAGGTGACCTCCTGAGCCCAGCGTGCCTACCTCTCATGGAAGGAGCTCCAGCCCTTCCCTGGAGGCTGGCGCTGGCCCAGAGCTGGCTCCATCACCCTGGGCCTTGGGACCCTAGAGGGAGGCAGGACAGAAGACTGCTCACGTCAGGTCCCGGGGGCTCAGAGAGCAGCGCCCACGAGCCAGCTCACGGGCCTCGGCCGCCCGCCCAGCCCGGTAACCATCTTGGTCTTTCTAGATCATGACTGTCCGGGCCAGAGTGGAGATGCTGGCCAAGTTGTGAGTAGCCAGAGCCTGCCGTGGGCCAGGCTGGTGGGTGTGTTGAGTCAATGCCTCTCGCATGGCAAGAACCTGGTCGCGCAGGGCGCTGGTGGCAGGAGGTCGCTCTCCTGCCTGCCCGGAAGCAGGGGCTTCTCGGCTGGTCTGTCGCCCTCGCTGGCAGGTGAGCAAGAGCCTCACCTTCTCAGGTGGCTGAAAGCAGGAGGGTCAGGGCAGGCAGCCGCTGGGGAAGGGGGGTCTGCAAGGACTCACCTCCACCCTGCCCACGCCCTCACCCCCTCCTGCCACAAGCCCAAGGTAAGTGGCCAGCTCTGAGCTGCTGCTGTGTGGTGTAGCCAGTGAGTGAGACGTGAGCCCCGAGGCCTGGGACAGAGCCCACCAGGCCTCAGAAGGAGCCACCAGGACACAGTAAGGGAGCCGGCACAGGAAGGCGTGGACCCCCGGCCGGCACACCGGCGTGGCCCCGCACCCGGCCCCGCTGGGCTTCCTGGGCCCTGGCTTCACAGTAAGTTGCCTGTGTTGTTTACAGATCACCACCCTCAGGAGCCGCATTGACCAGGCCCAGAAGCAGTGAGTAGCTTGGCCGTTCTCGCTCTGCTCGGGACACACGTTCCCCTGGGGCCAGCCACCCTCCTCCCCACCCAGGCCAGGCGATGTGAGCCGGTCCTGAACCCGGGCCACTGGTGGCTGGCCCTGGACTGAGCAGTAACCAGACTAACCCAGCCAGGCCTTCAGCCGGCTTGCACAGGCCGCGCCCCTCGGGATGCCAGCCAGCTCCTCCCCCTCCTCTCCCACCAACCAGGTGTGGCTCACACCCGTGCACCCCCACCAAGTCCTGCGCAGGGTGGGCGGCGGGCAGGCAGCCGGGAAGCCCCATTGCGGCTGCCATGGACCCGGCGTGGCTGGCCAGTCCATTGCACGGCGCTTCACCCTCAGAAGCAGGCTGGGCTGGTGATTTGGAGGCCGGGGCAGCTCTGGGCATGAGAGCTGGCTCCTCGGGAGGGTCACCCCGGTGGATGCCGTGCCCCGGACCACGGGCCTGGGCTCCGAGTCCCGTCCTGGGGCTAGCTGCCGAGCCAGCCGGTGGTGTGGCGGCCTCTGGGAACGCCGGCTTCCCAGGACTCATCGTCCCTCTTCCCACTGCTTCCTCTCTGCTTCCCAACTTGAGACCCTCATCGGAGACAAGGGGGTTGATGACGGAGGCTCCCGCCGCCTCCCTGTGTCTGTGCTGTGGGTCAGGGGTCATTACAGGCTGGTTTGGCAAGTTGCCCAGTGTGCACGTGTGTGCACGTGTGTGTGCACACCTGTGAGGGTGCCCGGGAACACGGGTGAGCAGGCGCCGCCTCGGAGTCCAGTCCCACGGGCCTCCCCGCCCTCCCTGGCATCCAGCAGGGACGGGTGTGGCCAGCCTGCCTGGGTCTCTGGTGTGCAGGGCCTCAGACAATGGGGTGGCCCCAGCAGCCACCTTCAGACAGGGACCGTGGCTGTGGCCTTCCGGGACAGCTCCCCTACGGGGGAGGGGGGGGCTGTCTGCAGTGACCCTGGTGGGGCAGGCGGGTCCCTAGCTCGCCTCGCTTGCTCCTGTCCTAACCACACTAAGTGCTCACGCAGGCCTGACCGGCCAGCCACAGGTGAGTCAGCACTGCTTGGCCTGGAGTGAGTGTGAGCTGAGTGTGCAGGGGAGAGGGCTCGAGGGAGGAGGCCAGAGGCTCACCCTGCAGAGCCTGGGAAGCCAGGGCGGGAGGCTCCAGGGCCAGCCCGGGCCTGGAGGCCAGCCTCGGCCCCGGCTACACCAGACACCGAGACCTCAAGGGCAACTTGTTTCCCGCTTACAGCAGCAAGAAGGCCGGTGCCACGGCCAAGGGCAAAGTCGGCGGGCGCTGGAAGTAGAGGCGCCGGGAGGCTCCCCGTGGCAGAGACCCTCAGCCCCAACTGGCTCCGACACCGCGCGCCCCACCACCATGCGGCCCAGCCCCCGCGCTGCCTCTCCTCCCTGGGCTCAGAGGTGCTGTCGGGGGCACCACGGAGGCCACCCCCGTGTCTCTGCCCTCCCTGTCCTCACCCCCCGGGGTCTGTGAATAAAGTTACCAGGCTCCCCTTGGCTGGCCGTGTGCTGACCCGTGTATGGGGCTCTGGAGGGCTGGACGCACCCCTGGAAAGCCCACGGGACTGCTGGTCTGCTGCTCGTGACTGGGGCGGGTCCTGGGGGTGCTGGGCTCAGACTCTGCGGCCGCTGCTCCCAACCAGCCCCTCACCCCCATCCTGGGAGGCCCCACCACCAGCCTGGGCTGGCCCCAAGGCCCCCTCAGGACAGACACACTGGGCCTCGGCAGGGAGGGTCAGGGCTGGCCATGGAAGCCATGCAGCACCCCAAAAGGTGAAGGCAGGCAGATCCTGCTCCCAGGGGGCTCCTGAGCCCCCTGTCTGGCACCAGGCACAGGCTGGGGAGGGAGGGCAGGGCAGACCACGAGAGCGCCGGCTCCACACAGACCATTTTTCTACATCGTACAAGCACCAGCACACGGCTGTGCAATGAGTTTGAAAGTCATGACCAAATAGAATTATGGAAAATATAAATCATGAAAATTGGATCAAGACCCAGAGCCTAGCACAGGAAGGCACTCGGGGGGGGGGGGGGGGGGAAGGTGAGTGTGGAGACGCTTCTCCTGAAGGCTCGGAGAGGGCTTCGGGCTGTGAGGGCCCTGAGCAGGCCAGAGTGACCGGCCTTCATTACCGGGTTGTGGAGGGACCTCGGGGACAAAATGGAATGAGCAGAACCCCCCACATGCATAGGCATACCCAATACACAGAGCGATGTACCCCGTGTGCACCCCAGGACACAGAGCGATGTACCCCGTGTGCACCCCAGGACACTCACACTTATGAGCAAGCTGTTGAGGAACACATTCCCGGTGACACTGTCAAAGTCCTGCAGGAGAAGCTTTCTGCAGGGCTTGGGAGCAGGAGTGGGCCCCGTGGGGAGACCCCCGTGGAGAGACACTGCAGGTGGAGAGGCAGCCAGGGAGCAGGGGCTGGACCGTGACTGAGAGGAGAGGCAGAAGGCGGCTGGAGGGAGACACCCCCGGAGCAGACCAGGGCGGGGGGGGGGGGGGGGACGGGACGGGTATTCGGTGAGGGTCCCACCAGCCGGACAGCCTGGACGGCTCTTTGCGAGAACTGCTTTGCATCACGTGAGCCCTGGGGAGCTCGAGAGTGAAGTACGGCCAAACAGAGAATCTCTGTCTGCACCCTGTCTCTCACACGTGTGCACATACACATGTGTGCACACACACGCACACACACACCCTTGGACCCTCCCACGTATAAAATGCTAAGTGTGCCCACGGACACTTTTTCCCCAAGTGTGCAAAGGTGGAAGCCATCACAACAGTGCATGTGAGACCATTGGTCCGCTTGGCCCATCTCTGGGACTCCTAGCCTTAATCCAAAAGGCAGCTGAACACAGCACTGCCTGTTCTGTGGACAGGCCTGTGTCCCAGCAGGGAGGGAGGGAGCAGGTCGGGCTCACAATGGTGGAGCAGATGGGTGGAGGTGGAGGACGGGGAGCTGCAAGCAAACCAGAATGCACACGGAGAGGAATGCAGGTGAAGGCCCACCTCAGACTCCAACCCAAAGCAAATCCCAACAAAGCCGGGACCACTGGACATCCATCCCAGCCAGGGGCTGGCGTGGAGGCCCAGCCCACAGGCAGCCGGGGGCGACTGTTTTAACATATGTTTAGAAATATAAAAACACACTGAATAGCTTTGGGTCCAAAAGGAAGTCATCGAGGAAGGCAGGAAGCACTTAGGGACTTCTGATAACGGGTCACGGGGCCCAGGACCGGGACAAGGCACGGCACCTTTGGGAGCCTCCGCTGACACCAGGAAAGGGAAAGACGTCTCCAACTTTACTGCGTTTCACATAAAATTCAAAAAAGCAACAACTGAAAACAACAACAAGAGACCAGAAACAGAGAAGCACAGAGATAATAAGAAACAGGAAAGATGGTAATAACATAAAAATCCAAGATGAATAGAGATCAGGAGAGTAAAAAGGAAATGGTTCTTGGAAAAGAGCAGAAGAATAAATAGTCCAACATCTGACATGACAATTAAGTCGACCTGGGAGAAGACACAGACGTTGCTAGGACGAGGCTCCATTTGTACTAAAAGAACACGTTTATAAACAACCTTATGGCGATATATTTGAAAACGGGATAAAACAGCCAATTCCCAGGAGAAATATAACTCACAGAATCGGCTCAAGGTCAAGTGCAAACCGTGAATAGACTGATTCATTTTAAAGACGTTGAACCAGTGGTTAAATCATTCTCACCAAAAACCACTGTGAGTTTTTTTTAAGTTACATCATGGCCAAGACCAAGGGCTCTCTGTGTAAGGAAAGACAGTTTTACATCAGAAAAATGAATGATGTAGTGTTGTATGTTCGTAACACATAAAGACTTTAAAGGCTACAGAAAAAGAAAAAGAAAAAGAAATTGAGGGCCGGAGGTGTTGCTCAGGGGTGGAGGGTAGGAATGAGGTCTGGTCTGGAAGGCTCCTACTTCAAACTGACCAGGTGTCCCCTCCAGAGCTTTGAAATAAGAAAAAGGATTTTCTTTGACAGAGGTTCTGGTAGGGAAGGCAAAAGAAAAATCACCCCCTTCATCACAGTACGGTTATTTCCCGGGAAACCAGGGGCACTGGCAGTTCTGAGCTAGGATGGAGTGGGTTCGGCTGCCAGGGGCACAAGTTACAGACACGGGATTTCTCCTGAGGTGCTGGGGACATGTGGCTGCTTAAAGACCTGCTGCAGACCCCAGCGGCCGGGCAGGAGCTTTGAGGCCAGGCTGGGCTGTGGAGACTGAGGTCCAGATACTCAGTTTCAGACATGAAGGGAAGGAAAGAAGGAAGGGAAGAAAAGCAAGGCGGGGGGGAGAGGAAACAAGAAAAAAAATCACAATTAAAATGTAAAGACGTAAGGGAGAAAACCGTGGAAGGGGGAAAACAGGAGCCACATGCATTCTATTGAGAATGGAGCCAGCACAACTCCAAACACGGTGGTTAGACCCCAGGCCCAAAGTCCAAGAGTCCCGTGGCAAGCCAAATAAGGAGATGTGGTGGAGGGAAGAGAAAAGAGGCGTGAGGGCAGACACGGGGCACCCGTCTTCAGGGGACAAACACTGGCCTGGGGTTAAAGAGGACGTGATTGGGAACACACAGTTCAAACAGCCCCCAGTGGAGTCAGGAGGCTGCCTTGGATGACCATTATCTCTGTCTTGGCCCTCCGAGGGCTTCCCGGGCGTTTTTATCAGTTCAGCATTGGGACAGAGCGGGATGAGTTGCCTCGCGGGTGATCTTTGGAGTTCTTTGGCTGTTTTTTTGAAGATGATAAGAAGAAGCCATGCCTGCGTGAGGGGCTGTTTGCCTTCCACACACACGATGTTTATCAGCAAATCTTCTCTTTCTGGAGCCCAAGAGGATTGCAAAATGATTGCCGGAGATAAGAGTTCAGATCAAAGGGCACAGGCACAGAGTTGAGGAGCTTTTCGTGAATTCACAAGGCCCAGCTTCTCAGACCCTCACAGGGTACAATCAATATGATTCCTAATATGGGAAAGACAGACAGACCATAGCATGGCAGCAGGAATAGAGCCACCAGGAGACAGGCCCTGTGATGAGGAGAGTAGGGAGGAAAAGTAGGACCTCACGGGCAGGCTGACTGAGGATGTGTTGAGCAGCAGGGACCCCTGAGGGGCAGCTCTGTGGCATGGCCCATTGCCAGTGTAGACCCAGCAGGGAGGGTCTCACAATGGGGGGAAGTGGGTTCTGGGAAGGCACTGAATATTTTTTCAGTTGTGGGGCTTGAACTCTGGGCCTGGGCACTGTCCCTGCGCTCTTCAGCTCAAGGCTAGTGATCTACCCCTCGAGCCACAGAGCCGGTTCCAGTTCCCTGGTGGTTCATTGGAGAGAAGAGTCTCATGGAGTTTCCTTGCCCCGGCTGGCTTTGAACTGTGACCCTCAGATCTCAGCCTCCTGAGTAGCTAGGATGACAGGCCTGAGCCACCAGTGCCTGGCAAAACAGTGAATTTTGGCTAAGTTGACCCGGCGACAGTGTGAGACTTGAACTCCAGGCCTGGGTGCTGTCCTTAAGCTTCTTTTGCTCAAGGTTAGCATGCTACCATTTTCAGCCACATCTGTCACTCCCAGTTTTCTGGTGGCTCATTGTAGATAAGAGTCACCAACTTTCCTGCCCGGGCTGGCTTTGAACCACAATCCTCAGATCACAGACCCCTGAGTAGCTGGGATGACAGACGTGAGCCACCAGTTGCCCGGCTACTGTGTGGGTCTTTTTTTCCCCCTTCCACAGAGCAGCCCAGGGGCCAGGAGGAGGCTCTACAGGCAAGCAGAGAACCTTTGTGAAAAGACGTTGTATTTACTGTCCCTCCGCCAGCGAGGACACCATGAGGGAAGAGGCAAAGGGGAGAGGGGAGCAGAAGGAAGGCCGGAGCACACGCAGCTCCCAGAGAAGGGGCATCAGGAGAGATGTAGGCCCAGAGGGGGCGCTGTTTCCTCTGCAGCTGAGAGCCAGGCAAGCGAAGGCGGGAAAGCCAGGAAGGCTCCGCTCCGCTCCCTGGAGACAGAAGGGCCCTGTGTAACCACGGAAAGACAGTTGACGCAGGCAGGGATTACCAGAGGGGCTCTGTTCCCGGGGGTCAGAACGCTGACCTCCAGGCACCGCTTGTGTGACTACTGATGAAATAAAACAGAGACAAGCATCAGTGGCCTTTAATGTCATCAATGCTGAGAAGACTCCGAAGATGCCTAAAGAAGGACATGGTTTTTCCACTAACCATCCAACCACCTGGAGTCAGTCCCAAGCAGCCTGCTGTCCTGCCCGACCAGGCGTGGACCCCTGTGGCCTGGAGAGGTGCAGGCCAC